CTACTAAGGATGATGAAGCTTTGGGATTAGAACACAGTTTCTGATTATTGTTATTCTGTACAGCATCACACACTGAGTTGTACACACACTGGTTTCTCAACAATATATTTTTTTAACAATGTGACATGACTAGAGTAGCCAGAAAAATATTTTATTGGTAGTCAATGCTGGGAAGTTCATAATGAGAACTTCAGAAGAGATGATTTTTCAGGGTGATGATTCTTTCACACTAGAGTCCTTTTATTGTCTCCTCACTTCTTTCTCACCTCTCAAAGCCTCCTTCTCATGCGCACATCATTTCTTGTATTATCATTATTACTTGCCTTTTAATTTTTTTATTTTAAAGAGGGTAAAACAAAACCTAACAAAATGAAACAAAGTAGATCAGAAGAAAACAATGTAAGTGACACAGATTTCAAAGCAAGACAACAGGAGATCAACAGGGGCTAACATAATGTCTCTTGTTTTCTTCTAAATAGTTTTCTATATCTTCACATACAATGAATTCATGCAAAGCACAATAGTATAAAACTGATCAAAACAGAGTAATGAAGACATTACAAGCCTTCAAAACTAGACAATAAAAAATCAACAATGGCTACTATAAGGTCTCTAGTTCTCTTCAAAATAGCTGTCCATATCTTCATGTATGTTGAAATTAAATCATATGTTTGAAATTAAATCATAAAAAACAGACTTAAACCACTCTAAACAAAGAATAAAAGAATTACTGGATTTCACAGCATTATAGGAAATCAGCAATGAATACCATAATGTGTCTTTTTCTTCAAAGTATCTGTTCATTTCGTCATGCATAATATAATCATATAATCATAATATAATAATATAATGTCGTAAACTGTTTAGGAGAAGTTCTAGGCATGTATAAGCCCTACATGTACATCTATCCTTTCTGCATTAGAGGAAAAAACAAAACAAAACAAATTACTAGAAAAATAAGAAACAAAAAAGCAAACAAAATACAAAATAGCAACAGCAAAGAACCCAAAACAACGACAATATAGGCCTTCAAAACATGCTGGTAGGGACATAACTAAGGTTATTTTATATAGTAACCTTCAAAAGAGTTCCTCAGATCACCAGACACAAACATGTAAAATTTATCAATTCCTAAGAAGTTAAGTTGTTCCAAAATCTTACAGAATTTGTAGCACAATCATCTTAACAATCCTAAGTGTGTTTATACAAATTTATTTTTTCTTTTCCCTTCCTTTTTTTCACCTTTTCCCTGAATTATTATTTTTTCCCCTTTGAACAGATTCTTTCCTTTTCACAGTATTTGCTGAGGATTTTGTATCTTATGTACCTTACCATTTCTTATACCAGGGAGACGATACAGTATTTACACATGTGAGTCTGATTTAGTTCACTTATGAGTATGGTCTCAAGTTGCCTTCCTTTACCTATAAATATCTCAATGTGACCATACTTTATAACTGAGTAGTGTTCCATTGTATAAAAGTACACCATCTTTTTTATCCATTCTCAATTAATGGGCATTTAGACTGTTTTTAAGATCTAGCTGTTACAAATTGTGCTGCTATAAACATGGATGCACATATATTACTGGGATATGATGTTTTCGATTCTGCTGGGAATATGCCCAGAATTGGAATAGCTGGGTCAAAAGGACTTCCAATCTCAGCTTTTTGAGGAACCTCCACACTTATTTCCATAAGTCGATACTCCCACCAACAGTGCAGAAGAGTTTCTTTTCCCCCACAGCCTCTCCAGCATTTGTTATTGGTGATTTTTCTTGATACTGGCCGTTCTTTCTGGAGTGAGGTGGACTCTCAGTGTGGTTTTAATTTGCATTTCTCTAATGACTAATGATGATGAACATTTGTGCATGTATTTGCCATTCGTATTTCTTCATCTGAGAACTGTGTATTCATCTCAGATGCCCATTTTTGGATTTGGTGTTTGAATTTCAGGGGTCTGATTTTTTAAATTCTTTTTATGTTCTAGACAGAAGTCCTTTGAGGGACAGTTGACTAAGATTTTTTCAGAATTCATGGGTTTCCTTTTTACTCTGTTGGAGAATTTTTTTGACATGCAAAAACTTTTTAATAAAATGAGATTCCAATTATTGATTCTGGGAAGTATTTCCCATGCAGTCTGATTCCTATTCATGAATTCTCTACCTACCCCTATGACTTCAAGATTGCTATCTACTTTATCTTCCAGGAGATTTAGTGTTTCTGTTTTAATATTTAGATTTTTGATCCATTTTTATCTTAATTTAGTACATTGTGATAGGCATGGATCCAGTTTTAGATTTTGGGATATAGAGAGCCAGTTTTTCAGCACCATTTATTAAAGAGACTATTTTTCTTCCAGTGAACATGTTTGGCCCCTTTGTCAAAGAGTGTGTTTGTAGTTGTGGTTGCATCTTATAATCTATTCCATTGATCTTTGGTCTGTTTTACTCCAGTACCATGCTGATTTTATCACAGTAGCTTTGTAGTATAACTTCAAGTCAGGGATTGTGATGCTTCCTGTCTTGCTTTTGTTGCCCAGAATTGCCTCTGATATTGTAGACCTTTTCTGCTTCCAGATAAGTTTTAAGAATGATTTCTCTAGATCTGTGAGGTATGCTGGTGTTATTTTGATTGGAATTGCATTAAATCTGTATGACAATTTTGGGAGAATGACCATTTTCACAGTGTTTGTTCTTCTTATCCATGACCAATCTATTTTGTGAGATCCTCTTCAATTTCTTTTTTTCAGGGTATATAATTTTCACTGAATAGATCTTTTACTACTTTTGTTAGATTGATTCCAAAGTATTTCATTTTTTTGGATGTTATTGCGAAGCATGTAGATTCTCTTTATTTCTCTCTCAGTGAGTTTGTTGTTTGTGTATAGGAATGCTATTGATTTTTGAGTGTTGACTTTGTATCCAGCTATGTTACTGAATTTATTTATTATACCTAGAAATCTTTTAATGCAGTTTTTGGGTTTTTTATGTAGAGTATCATGTCATCTGCAAATAATGATAATTCTTCTGCGATTCTGATGGGCTTTCCTTTGTAGGTGATCTGTGTCTTTAACAGTTTTTAATATTCTGTTCTTATGTTGAATTTCTGGCTGTTGATTATTATATGTCTGGGTGTAGTTTTACTTTGGTTATGGCTAATTGGAGTTCTATATACTTCACTTATTTGTATGTCAGTTTCCATTCTCATGTTTGGGAAATTCTCAGCTATGATTTCTGTGAATAGTCTTCTTGTATCATTTGTGTTGTCACCTTCTTTTTCATTTACATCTATCAACCTCATGTTGTTTTTCTTTGCATCATCTTGCAGCTGTTGAATTGTTATTTCCTGATTTCTTGTTATTTTTAAAAGATCTTTCCTTTCCTGTTCACTAGCTGCAATCTTGTCTTCAAGGTCTGAAAGTCTATCTTCATTTCATTGAATTGGTTTTGACAACTTTCAATGGAATATTTTATTTTCATCTCTTTGAACCTGCTTCATGCATTCTGTTTGTGTCTTATATTATTTATTCAAGGTTTCCATCTTTTTGCAGTGTTCTGCTGTTTTTTAACTATGTCTCCTTTAGATATGTTCAGCACTTCTTTCATTATGTTTATTATTTCTTCTTTTCCTTGGGAATTATTTCTGATCTGAGTTCTTTTTTAGCTTCCTGGTGTTCTTTCTTTACTTCAGTTGCTATCATTTCAGGAGTTCCTTGGGTGTGGCTTACATTTTCTTCCATGTCCATGTCTCCTAGGCTTGGTTGGAATGGGCTGGAGGTTTAAGATTGCATTTTGATCCTTCATTTTGTCATATGTTCCCTTAGGTAAGCTAAAGGCAAGGTCTCAGTTGTTTCTGGGGTTGAGAATATCTATCCCTACTGCAGAGAGTTTCCCCAGTTGAGTGGAGATGGTTAATCAGGCCTTACCACGTGGCTTCCAGACAATCAGAGGCCCTGAGCGGGGTCCAGCTAGACGAGAAGGGACTTTCCCAGGGGTTCTCTGGTGATGGGCGATGCTGGACAGGGCCCTACCTGGCTCCAAGTGACATGCTGAGGCTGCACGGCTGGATGGAGATCACTGCGCACCCTTACTTCCCTTTTTAAAGTAACTTATGTTACCAAATTAGCCTGTCTTAAGCATGCAATTCAAAAGCAAATCACAATTTTAGAACATTTTCATTTCCTCAAAAAGGTCCTGTGCACCTGTTCTGTGGTCAATCCCATTGTCACACTCCATCGCAGGCACCCATCATTCTACTTTCTTTCTTTTCTGGGTATTTCATGCAAATGGAAACGTATAATAGATTTTTTTTACATCTGACCTATTTTGAGTGGCATCCATGCTGTAACCAGTATATGCACTTTGAACCCTTTTAGAGAGGAATCTTAACCCTTTTATTAATGAAGCACAGCTTGGTTTTCATTCACTTGTTTATGGACATGGGTTATTTCCACTTTTTAAAATGTATTTATATTACTGAATATTAATCTTGTGAAATATTTGGCTTCAATGTGATATTTTTATGTATGTGTATGACATTCTGATCATCTATATTCCCCGTTACCCTCTCTATACCCTTTTCCCCTTCACATAGTTTCTTTCCCCTTGTGTAATTGTAGCATCTTTTGTACTTTTTTCCTAATTATTTATTTGTCTGTTTAGGCAAGGTCTTTCTGTGCAGTTCAGGCTGGCCTTGAACTCGCAGTTATCATCTTGCCTCAGCCTCTAGAGTGCTAGGATTACAGGTGTGTGCTACCAAGCCCAGAACCCTTTATATTTTCATGTCATGTTTTGAAGATTCCAGATATAAGGGAAAACATGTAATGCTTGACTTATTGGCTTAACAATCTCTAGTTCCATCATTTTTCTGAAAATGACGGTTTTATTGTGCTTTGAGATGAATACTAATCCTGTGTATGTATACCACATTTTCTTTATCCATTTATTCTTTACAGATTTGCCCATTTATTCTTTTTTCTTCTTTTGTCATTTTGAGACAGGGCCTCACTATGCAGTTCTGGCTGGTCTCGCACTCACTTTGTAACCCAAGCTGATCTCAAACTTGCAAACAGTTCTCCTGCCTCAGACTCCCAAGTGCTGGGATTACAGGAGTGTACCACCACACCTGGATTTATCCACTCATTCTTTAATTTAGGCTGGTTCCATGTCTTCACTATTGTGAATCCTGCACAAAAAACATGGCTTTTTAGATATTGCTCTAAAACACTGACTTTAATTCCTTCAGGTGAAGACCAAAGAACGGTGTAGTAGGGTCATATGGTAGTTCTAGTTTTGATTTTTTAATAACTTCCATATTGATTTCCATGGTGGCTGTATTAATTTGGAAACTCAGGTTTTAGTTTGCATGTCCCTAATAGCTAAAGGTATATGTATTGGCCATTTGTACTTCTTTTGAGAAATAATCTATTCAATTCATTTACCCAGTTATTGTTTGGGATATTTGCTTTTTTGATGTCAAGCTTTTTGTGTTTTTTTAATGTATTCTAGATATTACTTCTCTGTTAGAAGAGTAGTTGGAAGAGAATTTCTTCCATTATGTGGGCTGCGTCTTCTTTTCCTTAGACATTTTCTTTGCTGTACAGAAACTTTTAGTCAGATGTAGTTCTATTTGTTTACTTCTGCTAATATTTCCTGTGCTAATTGAATCATATTCAAGAAGTCTTACCTGTGCCTGTGGCTTCAAGTGTGTCCATTGTGTTTGCCTCTAGAAGTTTCAAAGTTTCATATCCAAGTCTTTGACTTATTCTAATTGACTTTTGTGCAAGATGAGAGACAGGGATCTGCTTTCTGTCTTCTAATATAGATGTTGTCTCAACATCATTTGTTAAAGAGGCTTTTTTCCAACTTGCATTTTTGGCCCCTTTGTCAAGAATCAGATACCTGTAGCTTCTGTGTCCTCTATTCTGTTCCATTAGTCTATGTGTCTATTTTTTGCAGCAGTACTATGCTGTTTTTGTTATAATAGCTTTGTGGTATATTTTGAAATCAGCATTGCTCTTTTTGCTTAGGATTGCTTTGTGTTTCCATGTGAAGAACTTCAGAATATTTTTCCAAGTTCTATAAAGAATGTCATTGGAAATCTGATGGGGATTGCATTAAATCTATAGATTGATTTTAATAATATTTGAGTTCTTTATATATTTTAGATACAAATCCTCTGAGGATAGTTGCCAAAAGATTTTTTCCATTCTGTAGGTTGTTTCTTCACTTTTTTGTAGTAGGTTGTAGATTTTTTCCATTCTGTAGTTTGTTTCTTCACTTGACTTTCTAGAAAATTTTAAATTTGTTTTTGTTGCTATTGTTGTTGTTTTTTAGAAGTCAATTAACACATGTTGTATTAAGCTAAATGTTTTACTCTCCATTAGGATAAAACCTCTATCAGGGCAATCACAAAATTCATATTTCTATAATTAGGGAAACTTTGTTTAAACTCTGAAGAAAAATATCTCCAGTTTCCCCACTGGAATTAAAATTGCAAATTTTAAATTATATTTTTGGAATACTTTTTTCTTGACTAATTAAACAATTTTAGTCTCTAAAGTTTTTGCTTTCAACATTCAAACTGCAAAATTACATTGAATTAATCCAAATCATACATCAAAGACTTCTGAAAACTGAATTCATAATAAATCACATGATCTTTAATAATCTGGACACTACCTTATTGCTTTTCTTTGATTGCTGTCAAATCAGTTATATTTTGAATTACAGTTTTATTGAGTGATGAAGACTGGTGACCTCCACCTAATTTTTTTCTTTAGTTACGTAGGTTCCTTTAAATTATCTTCTTCATTTGAATAAGTTTTCTTTTACAAATTCAGGGTCTATTTTTGTCTCAAGTGGCTGAGATTTTCCTAGTATCGTTTGAGAAACATCAAAAGGCTCTTGTGAAAGCCTGTAACTGGACCGCAAATATCTATTTCTGGTGCTTTAACTGCTATGCAGGAATAAGAATCAATCGTAGAGGGTGTAAGACGTTCTATATTTTCTCTTTCAGTTAGAAGATATCCTTCATTGATTATTTTTTCCTTTCTTGAAACTGATCAGGATTACTACATTCTTGCATGATTACTACTTGGCATGATTTTGAATCTCCTCATTAGCCTGAAGGATTTCAATTAATGGTGGGATTGGGAGTACTGTCTGGTTCAGTGGAGGGTTCAGGACTTCTTCAAGAAAATGACCTTCTCTGACAAACAATCTTTCTTCCACAGAACCTCCGTGTAAACCACAGTACCACTCTCGCCAATGCCCACAGCGCCCTACAGATTCGGCTAGCACCAGCACTGCATTGTCTGAAGAAACGCTAATCTCGGATTCTTAGGTACTCAGTGCATTCTTGGGAGCGCACTGAAAGAGACATAACAAGGTAAATATTGTGTGGAGAAGCTCAATTTGCAGTTCAGATCCCCTGGAAGGCTTTGTGATTGAACCCTGGGCCCTTGAACTAGCAGAGCCAAGAGTGTTCGTCCTGATTGCACTGCAGAGGAGGCCACAAAGGTTCCCTGCCCTCGGCCACGGCCACGGGGTCTCCTATTGCCCAGTCGAAGTGCTGGCCACCGAGCCCTCCAGGTCTCACTGGGATACCCGCACTGGTCACTCCATCCTCCAAACTCCGCTTCCTGCTGAAGACTCCCAACCAACGCCCTGGGAGAAGTACAGATAATGAATAAATTTACTTTTTTCTTTCCTGTACATATCTCTTATTATTTATTTATTTATTTATTTATTTATTATTGCCTCATTGCTCACTCTAGTATTTTGAGTACTGTGTTGAACAGAAATGATGGTAATGGACATCTTTGTCTTGCTGCTGATTTCAGAGAGAAAGTTTTCCGGTTTTTTCCCATTTAATATCATGTTGGCAGTAGGTTTGATTCCTAGATATTGTATAAAGTTATTTTGTGTGGAATTGTTTTATTAACTCTTTTCTCAGCTAACTCATTAGTGATGTATGGAAAAGCCACTGATTCTTTCATATTGATTTTATATCCTTCCTTTATAATCTCCGCTCTTCACCCCTCCAATTCCTTCAATACCCTGCTTTCTTAAAAACACTAGTACCAACAATGCCACCTCTTCAGAATCCTCGAAATATTCTTCGTTGTACAGAAGTCAAATCCCTGCAACCCACTAGCCAAGTTTCCATTTGACCTACTCCCACTATCCCTTTCCAGATTTATCTCTAATTATTTTGTAGTACAAACCTGTTCTTGCCAGAATGACCCTCTCTTCTTTAAATATGCATAATGCCATCCTTCTCGTTTTGCTCCTTTCTTTTCATTCTCTTGAAATTCTTCAAAATCCAATTTAGATTTCATTCTTTCTTTGGCACATTTTCTTACTGCTTAAATCTAATGAAGCAGGACCCCAGGAAATAGCTCAGTGACACAATGCCTGCCTGGCAAGCACAACGTTGTGAGTTTGATTCCTGGTACCAAAAATAAATAAAACAAATGAATAAATACATCTAATGAGTCCATTTCTCACTTGTCTGAACCTCTTGGTTTCCGCTTTTATTTGCCTCTTATTTTCCACTAACATCAATATAGATGGAGTTTAAAATGATTATATTTGATTTTTTAAAGTCTTATGTGTAGAATTAGAGCAAAGACCTAGCATGGCTTGTATAAGCCTTAATAATTGCATTGATGTATTACTAATAGATTATTAAAAATTAAGTGGATGTGTTTTCACGCGTACTGTGAGAGAGTGCCTTAAGCCTAGATTTCATGTATGTTGGAGGGAGGACTGAATCAAGATTTGTAAAGAATTTACTTTGCTTCCTAGGTTTCTACATCCTCTGCCATTGAAATCAGCAGTGAGTTGGTAAAGGGAAAATAGAAAGACAATGGCGAGAAGATAAACAGGAAATAAAGAAGTGCAACACTGTCTTGCTGAAACATCAATTTCAAGTGGGAAGAACTCACAGTTGCCTGGGATTAGCTTCAAACTGCTAACTGCTCATTAAAACAAACAAAGAAAAAACTTAACCTACAAGTGTCTAGCACGTCACAATTCATTTGATTTGTACTTTGATCCCTACTGAATAAAAATGCTCTGAGGATAGATTCCATCAGACCATCTGTTACACTTTAATGAGAGTGCGTTTATCAGCAAGGTTTCTAATTAAGGTTGAGGAAGGAAGAAAAAGCTTTGAGAAGGCAAGAAAAGACAAGAAAGTCTGGGAATAGAGGCAGGAAAGGAACCAGAACTCAGAGAACAGAAGCAGACACATTTCATCTACCGCAAAGTTTTCCCAGAAACTGACTTAAGTCATGTGAGTTCCTGCTCAGTTTCTGTTCAGAGGCTGAGAGCTCAGTGTACTTTCCAGCACCTACAATTCTCTGAAGACAACAGTGACAGCAGAATTCTCACAGAAATATGGCTGATGGAATTCAGCTGGAAAAAAGCCTCCCCAAATGTAAGAAACCATGAGGTGGGCAAGCTTTGCCTATATACAAAGCAGTAAGGTGCCCTTTGCCCATGATTGCACCCTCATCCCCTGTAAATCTAATCAGTGAGTTAAAATTTGATGCTCACAGAAGACAGAGCTAATGACTAGCACTGGTGCACCGCCTCTTTTAATATGACCTTGAATTAAGTCCAGATGGTCAACGAAACAACTGAAATCTCTCAACCGAAAATATTGGGACAGAAAGTACTCCCTAGAGCTTGTGACTCATGCCCTCTCTAGCTCACAGGAGGAATCTCTGCTTCTCGTAGCTCAGAATTAGTGATCCTGTGAAGTGGCCTTACTTAGAAATTACTCTTTATTTCTGTTTCTCGATATTAAGCCTTCCTCCAGCAAAGATAGTATCTATACTAGCAAAGAAATGGTACTTTAGTAGAAAGTGGAAGGAACCTCAAAGATTACCTCAAAGTGAAGCGCCTCACCTTATAAAGGAGAAAACCAGTGATCAAAGAACAGGTCTTGATGAAATTTTTAGGACTAGAAGGCTCTCCTTCCTCCCTTCTCTCTGGCTGGAAGATTACCAGGCTCATAGCTGAATATGGGATAAATAAATAATGAGCTCAGTTGCAGGAACTAAGAGGAGAAAGGAGTTCGTGGTCTAGCTCATCTGTTCCCTCCAGAAGGAGAGACAGGAGAAGCACTAGATACACTGAGCTCTGAGCCTCAGCCCCTCCCTGGGGCATCTTTACTCATTTCTTTCCACAGTCTTTAAAGAAAATGATTTCCCTCTAGTCAGGCTCATTCTAATCTCCTTCTCCCTTGCTTTTGAGGCATAGAAGGAGCCACTAAACAAAAACAGATGCAGTTTGGGTTGTGTATAACATCTTTTAAAAAGACTCTAAGAGTTGATCCCAATTATTTTCATAATATGTAATGTAACATTTAAAAAATAAATTTAATATAACCCTTGATGTACAAACATTAAAATTTAATTAATAAGATCTGACCTTTCAGTATAGCAGCTCTATAACTCTTCACCCTAACCCCAGCTGTGACTGTTGGAATGTCTAAAATGTAAGTATTTGCTATGTCGAGAACTTTTTTATTAATTTTGATTTTCTGAAAAATTGAGTTAAAATATTATTTCTCTAGATTACTACAGGTGTTTTGTGTGCTCCCTCCTAGATTTTTTGCCTAAAGTTACAATTTCACTTTACTTTGTTCCTGGCTTGTCTTGTATTCGCCCATGACCCTCATCCAGTGACTTGAAGACAAGGGGAAAAAAAATTGAAGTGCATACAGAATTTATGGTTTGATTCGGTACAGATTTTTTTTATTGGAGCAGAATAAAACGATTCAACTCAGCGGTACTGGAAAGACAAATTAAGAAGCGACTACCCATTTTGTTTAAGGCCTTGTCCCTGTGTTCCCAGGCCAGGTCTTCTGCAGGAATGACTGGCCTTAGAGCAGCTTGTAGATGACAAGGAGTCACAAACATAGGGCCAATCTTAAGTTACTCAATGTATCCGTGGAAATGAACTGGCCCCAAGTTATCACAAGTGACAAGAACATACCCCTCCAAGGCAGAAACCTGGTACCTGCAGGCAGGATATGTTATGCCACCAATGAGTTGGCAGAGTGTCATTTTAAACTTTGTCTCACTCTGGAAGCAGAAAATGGTAGACTGGCTTGGGCAAACCATCTTCCTGTGAGAAATGCAGACACTATTGAGTTTTTGGGGCCTCTCATGGATGAAGACATGCTTCTTTTTGCATGTGTCGTTGGGTTCCCTGATGACTCTCTGTAGGACCATGGAGTTGCAGTACCTTATAGGATTACTCTTTGGGTAATCCACATGCAAGTGCTCTATGGATGTCACCACTATTTCCTCAGCTGGCTCCCTTTCCCAGAAGAGAAGCAGCAAGAAAATGAGCACCATTAGTGTCATCAGAGTTAAGATTCCCTTCACACGTATGGCATTAGCTCCTGTTAAGTAAGGGAGACAAAAGGAACACAGGGTCATCAGGTCCCTCCTGCTCTAACCCCGGGGGTCTCCCCCATTGTCTTCCTTTCTCTTCTCTGTTATTTAAAATCTCGTCCACCCTGCAAAGTCTAATTGGAAGGCACAGATCCCCATTAAAGCTGTCTCATGAGTCTGCCGTAATCCCCTTTGTCTCTACCTGCTCCCGATAGCAAGTACATTTCCTGCTTCTCCCAAAGCTTTCAAAATGCTTAATCTGGAGCTGAATATGCAACAGGTACTGAAATCTATCCATTCCCGATTCCCTCATTCACAGTGCTCAGGGACTCCTCCACAGTCTTCTCAACCTGAATTCCACCCAGTTCTACATGTTTTTGGTAATGTCTACTAAATTTGTTTTTCCTAATGCCTTCCTTCCTTGTGTCTGTCCTGCTTGAGCCGTATGAGCTCCTCTTACCTGTTATTTTTGCTGCTGCTTTCACAGGTAGCATATCCTTTCGTCCTGAGGAAAATCTCTTTTGTCAGTGTTCCCAGTCCTGCAAAGAAGCAACTGGGTGTGCAGGGAACAAGAAAGGAAAGAACAGAAAGGGAGGGACCTGTGGAGTATTGTCTTGGGTGCACGGAGAAGGAAGAGGAGTTACCTTCAGAGGGTGAGGAGAGTGAAGCAGATCTTGAATAGTTCCCTATTAAACAAGTAAAAAGTCCTCATATGTGCCAGCCACACTATTGCCCCTTTCCTAAATTTTCAATCAGTCTTTTCTATAAACCTGTGGAGAAGCTATTCCTTTAATTTCACTGATAAAGAAATGAGTTGCAGAAAAGTTGAAATGACTATGGCAAATTACACAGGTCTCACTCTCACAATACTTACAACACTTGAATTCTAATTTCAGTGAGTGTCATTTCCACGTGCTGTCTAGGAGGGGGTAAAAACATTCTCTGGACTTAACACTAGCCTTGATAAAGTTCTAGGCTTCTAAAGAGTATGGAAGTAGTTTCCAAACTCTGCTAAACATTGCAAATATCTGGGGATTTTTAAAAAAAAAAATGCTAACTTGCATCCTTTTAACTGTGACATGTTTGGGAAGCTTTTATGGAAAATCAGTGGGTAAAGGCTTAGTAAAAGCACAGTGCCCAAGGATTTAAGATCACAGAAATTTTATTTCTGTCATCTCTTTGTAAATTGATACAGGCAAAGAAAATTTACTTAATTTTATAAGATCTTGTTCCAAAATCCTCTCCCTCTCGCCATCTGTCTCTCTCCTTCTCTGTCCCCTTCCATGCTGGGGATCCAACCTAAGACTGAGCACATGCTAAGCAAGCACTACCTTTGAAGACCAAGCTAAAAAGTCTGCTTAACATGTATCTGTGGCTTTCTAATTGCCCAGAAGAACATAATTATTGGGTGAAAAATCATCCATGAAGGACAGAACATTCTGGAAAAGACTTCAGAGAGTGCATCTTTTCCTATACAACAAAACCATAACTTCTGACAGCAAAAATGAACAAGCAAGAGGTTATTTATTTACTTTCCAAAAGCTTTCTAAGTTGAATCCTTTCAAGATTCAAACTGTCCTGTTTTACATATTGTTGTAGTCAAGGTTTACAAGGGAAAAGATTTAGTATAGAACACACAACTTATGGGATTATTGTGTAATATTCACCCTAAGAGTCAAATACAAAAGAATGCAAGAGATCTGTCCACACACTACAGACCCAAAGAGTCCAGCTGACGGCCTGGGTTCTGTGACAGTGCCCTGCACGAGTCTAGCTGAAGACCTAAAGCCCATGACAATGTCCTCCAAGAGTCCAGCTGGAGGTTTTCAAGCCCACAATGATGTCTCACACAAGTCTGTATCAAGGATCTGCACTGGGAAGGCCCAAAGGCCTGGGGTGGAGGCTAAAAAGTACGCACCACAGAGATGAGGGATCTGTGCCAGCAACCTGAGGAATCTGTACTGGAGCCTGGAAGCAACACTCAGGGTAAAGGCCAGAGCTCCCCTGAAAAGAAGCACAGCCGTCCTCAGTAACAATGAGGAGCTGAGCTCCTCTGACGATGAGAACAGCTGACTTCATACCAGGAAATCCAGTACAACAAGCTTCTCCTGGAGAATAAGCAACACTGCATTTCCCCTTTAGTTCTCTTTTTATGTTGTTGGCAACAACCCTCCAGTGGGCACCACACTCGGCACCGGGCTGATTCAGTTCAGCGGGGTGGTATGAGTTGACCACCACACATATGTGTTGCACAATACCACAAAGATACAAGTGCATAACTAATTTTTGCAAGTTTTCCAAAGAACAAAATTTGATTTGCATGTCTTATTGCAGAAAAGCTCCACTGAATAAGGGAAGTGTATGCGTGTACTATGTAGCATGTTCATTATCCCCGCGAGGACTTGCATGTGTCTGAACTACAAATGCTTTATTGAATCAGGGACGCAAGACCCTAGAAAAAGATATTCCAACTGAAGCAACTAAACCCATCCCTGAACATTTCAGAGTATCATCCTCCAGAACCGGAGTTAAGACTAACTCCATCTCCAGCCTTTAACGATCACCACTCTACACTTTTCTACTATAAATTCTACGTTTTTTTATTTATGAATTTTTTGAGATGGTGTCTCACTATGTAGTTATTTATTTACTTACTTATTTGATTTTTTTGAAACAGGGTTTTGCTACAGAGTCCAGGCTGGCCTTGAACTCTTTGTTGCCTAGGCTGGCCTCAAACTCAGGACAATCCTAACTTGTAAACACAGAAAACCAGTCCTTAGCTCACACCTGTTTACTTTCTGAAGGCAATCTCTGGAAGCTGACTTTGTAAGCAACAGCCCAGTGCAGCCCAAATGCTAAAAAACATCTTCCTTTCCAAACCGTCACACTTACCCACAACAAATCAAAACCCTCAAGTATAGGGAATACTCAATACCCCATCCTGGAACCTCTGCATCTAGATTACTAATCTGGTTTAGAAAAAACATCACATCCCAGAATCAAGAAAGCTCCTTGCCTGGACATCGAAAGGGTCTGCCTCCTAAACACCTCTGCAGGAGGTGTAGTCTATATTTCCCAAAGTTCTTAATTATCTGTGATCTGTCAGGATCTCTGGACATCAGGTCCAGAAGATGAGCTAGAGTGCCCTGGGCGTACAGTTTACCAAGAAGGTTCTGGAGTCACATGAAGGATGGAAGTAAGGTTTGAAGGTAGTAGGTTTGAAGAAGGCAGGAACTGGAAATATTCTGGACTTGGTAAAGTAGAAAGTGCCCCCTCTCATTCTTTTTTTTTTTTTTTTTGGACTGGGCATCAAACCCAAGGCCTCTGCCCTGAGCTGCATCCCGCCACCTCATTAGAAAAGGATCTTTCATATTTGTATGTGAGTCAAAGTCACTGCATTGCTCAGGCTGAATTCAAACCTGCCATTCTCCTCCTTCAACCTTCCAGAGCGCTGGAGCTGCAAGCCGGCACCACTTGCCCCACTGTCTTCCCATTTTCCAGTACCCCTTTCCTGCTTTTCTATCACCCATAAGCCACCTTTGAACACCTCACCTAAGCGTAAGGTGTTGGAAGCACTTTGGAGTTAGAACCTGATTTCTTTCCTGTTTACTCAGGAACTCTCCAAACATTTTCACTTGCTGCTGTGATGAGAAAACTAATGAAGTCCTGTGTTTTTTGTGACTGTGGCAATAAGCTGCAACCTGCAACTCTATACTGGTTCATAGCAACCCTAAAGCACCGAGTGCAGGCTCACAGAGCAGGAAGTGTTTCCAATTACAACACATCTCTTCCAGGAATGCTCTTTCTAAATGAACCACTCAAGAGTTTCCACAAGAAACTCTGCTCCACACTTCTGTTTGTAACTGGTTGGTGATGCTGGAAGGACAGCCTGGGCTTCTCTCATGCCTGCTGCCTGCATCTTGAGGCCAGGAGTTGCCTGCTGCCTGCATCTTGAGGCCAGGAGCTGGGCACCTTCTTTCTCCTGCTCAGGGCCTGCCACTTCTCAGATCACAAGATGTTTTGGAGTGGAGAAATGTTTAGGTACAAGATGTCAGATTGTGTCCTAACTGGCTGAATGATCATGAAAAATCATGTCACTTCTCAAAACCTCAATTTCTTCATCTCTAAAATGGGAGTGGTAGAAAAAATAAAGGAGGAATCCAACTACTCTGCTTTTACAAACTAAGGTTCTGAACTTAATTTAAATAAAGTCCTTGGCTATTCTCTTGAGGTGACGATTCTCTGGTTACAAGTTTTGTTTCCCTACACACTGCAGGAACAGGGAGAGATCTCTGCCTCTCATCCTGGAATGCAGACTGACAATGGGGAAACAGGAAGCAGGATTCTGGGTACCAGACTCAAAAGTGAGGCGCTCCGGTGTAAGAGCGTGGAGTATTCCTGTGAAATGACCTAGGGAACGGGCAAAGTGATCGATAACGCTTGGGGAAGAGGAGATGAGGCATCCCTGTCCTGGAGGGGTGGATCGGCAACTGCAGGGCTGTTTTCCAGGCGACTTGTTAACTGAAGGCTTCCCGCAGTACTGCACAAGCTGCTGGACACTCATCTAGTTCTCCTCCCACTACTTCCCACTACTTCACTGTCTCTGTCCAAGAGAAGTGACCGGGGGGGCCTGCCCATGTCAAGAGCAAGCTGCTCCCAATTAATTACAGGTCAGATTTTGAAGCAGAGGCCATCATGTGCTGATAGCCCCAGGCTATGCACACAGGACTTCTGGAGGTGCTGTTCTTCCTTGAGGAGAAACCAAGCTCGTTCTTGTTTTATAATTTCCCTGTGTCCCCCAAATGACTGTTACAGTGAGCCAGCCGGAGAAAGGTCAGGCTTCCTGACCATGCCTCTCTAGCAGCTACTCGCTAGGCCTGTTTGGGGTTTGTATTTCTAAAGCTGTTTTGATCATAGTGCCCTAGGCTGAGCACTGCCTTCTTTGAGCTCTGATTAAAGAGAATCATTAATCAAGCCTTCCCTTGGGGAACCTCCCCAGGACATTCACATTTCTCACCCCGCTCCCAGGTCCTGCTCTCTTCTCTGAACCAGTTCCAGCTTCCTTGAACATCAGACAAAAATCCTTGAAAAAGATGAAAGATTTTTCCCCACACCAAATAATCCTCAAGTCTCCAAAGAATACAAGGGTGTTCAAAATAAATAAACACACACCCTCCCTATCCAGAAGAGATTGGACAGGGCAAGATGAGCAGCAGTAGAGAGCATGAAACTGGGCTCCCCTCTCTTAACAATTCTTTCCAGTCATTTCTTGTGACCCACTGCCAAGTACAGTGCCTAGAATGCAACAGGTGCTGAATAAATATTTTCTCAGTAAAAATTGAATAAATGGAGAATGTATAGATGAATGACCTATTTTGCCCTGTCACTGATAATAGGAAATGATACAGGGCCTGCTGAATGTCTGATACACCAAGTTTGTGCTCTTTAAAATCAAAGAATGAATTCTAGGAACAGCAGAGGTTAAGAATAGAAAACTTTATTAAGGAATAGACAGCTCCTGCTTGAGTGAGACAGGAGGATGCCCAGAAAATTGGTTGCCAAGGACCCTACTTTTGAAGGAAAGTTTTACAACCACAATCATACAGTTACAATATGGGTCACAGCTATGATCAATCAATAAATAAGTATAGTCACTTAGGCAATATTGATCCAGTGGGGAAAGCAATCACATAGCAAATGTATGCAGAATGAACAAAGAACTTTTCAGGAAGGGATGAGTCTGAGGGTCTTGGTTACCCTCTGAGGTGACTAATGCTATTTAGATTGTGTTGGTCCAAGTGCTACTGCTTATTTTAGGCCTTGTCCTTCTGTTTTTATCTTGAGGCCTGGCCTCCAACTGATGTGTCTCCAGCATTTTCATCTTTGTCCTGACTCTTTTAGAGGCCTACTCCATCAACTGCCTATAATATTTCTACCTAGCTTATTGTCTATAATATAACAATAGTAACAGAAAGCTTTCTTTCCTTTATAGACGTCAGTCATTTTTTTTTTTTTTTGAGATGGGCCTCTAAAGCACTATACAAACTTTTAAGATCAGAAATGTCTATGAAAGTGAAAGTTGTTA